ATTCGCCGAATCGTTGTCATTACTCTTTCAACGCTTGGTACTGAGAAATCATTCGTTTCGATCTGGAATCTGTGACAGTTTCTCAACCTTCCAAATTGCTCTTGTTCGTGACAACGTTGCGAAAGATAATAAAGAAACGTGATGTTGACGAAGACTTTATGCTCGTCGAGTCTGCTCTTCGAGTGAAAGGTAAATTGTAACTTTTTCTATTCTGTGCTAGCCTTTGTAGGTACACTTTTGAAAAAACAGAACACAGTGTAGGCTGTTAACCAAATGTATCATATTTTAGAATATCCGCGGTGGCTAAGATGGCTATAACGAAAGTGCCCTCTCCCGCGTCCTATCCTGCGTTGCTCCGAAAAACCGTAGGAGCCTCCTAGTCCGACTGTCCTGGAAGAGGGCTTAGTTTATGGCACCCTCGGGTATCCGAGCGCTTTCTCTTCCGGTGACCCTGGGTAAGTCCAGGCCACCACTTTGCCGCTTAAATCTCGCATTCCTTACACCTTTTTCAATTTTTTTATACAAATAAGGAGTCCTTGCCTATCCACTACTCACGGTACATTTTCCACAACGTTGTTAGGAACGAATTATAACACCGCAGAATTTACCCGTTCCTCGTTCACGTTATAAAATTCTCGGCATAGGAAAGGTAACTTAAAAATACGGAATTAAAATGTTTTTCTTTCGAAGTTTCGTGGGAACGCGTGTAAACCGTGCACCTTGACGTTGAACAGCAATTTAAACAAAAAAGAAATTCCTTTGGTAATTACACGCCGCTCTAACGTAAATCATAATTAAAGAGGGGCAGAAGAATACGTTAACATACTGGATGAATTTCAGCAACGATAAAAATGATTTACAAAAGCCCGTGAATTCCCAACGGTGGAATAATTTTCGGAATCGCGGATAGAGAATAGAGAAGCTAAGCCGTGTCTTCTACGCGGCGAGGTTGAAAAGTTTCGGCTAAACAAATTTCTTCCCGCAGGGGATGTCGCGGCATCATAAGTGGCCCGGTGGTCAAGCAACTATGAGAGGGGAAAAGGAAAGAACGTGGAAGTCTGTTGGAAAGTTGGTGGACAGCGAACGTAGGAGAAAACTCGGGCAGGAACATCCGCTTGAAGCTAAAACCTGCGTACGACGTGTAATTACTGTCGGGTGGCTCGTTGTCATGTCGCCGAGTGTAATAAAAATTCTAGGGAAATACAATTATCGTGTCCCGCATTACCAGCCTTAACAAGGCATTTTAAACGGTACCGCTGCATATGCGTGAAATTTAGAAAATTGCCATGGAGACAAAGAGGAAACGGTGCCTTTTTTCTTACCTTTTTAAAAGCTGCGCAATTATACCGGCCGAACTCGCGGGCAACGTGAAGTCTAATTTACATCTGTTCGTGCAAATATCGTTTGATTAATCTATTCTTCGTTAAATTTTATAATATAGATATCGAGAAAAGGTGAAAATAATATTCTTGTATTTTTGTATACTTTGCGTTACAATTTTCTTACGTTTTGTGCTAAAGCTGGAGTAATAACAAGGAATGTAAGAATATGCTTTTTGTTTTGGAAAGAATGGACACTGAAATTCTCTCGCAGACACTTGATGGGAGAATTGAATACACCATGGGAGGTATATTTCATGAGCTGGTACACGTAAGGCCGGTACGAGGACGACGAATTTGAGCAAAGTTGCCAGCTGCGCTCGTAAAATATAAAACACTCGGATATTTCGCGACAACGGGTCTTAAGAGAACATTCCGGTACCGTAAATGGCTTTCGCGGTCAGCTATCCTCGGGACGAAAACTTCTACGAAGTTTACCGCGAGCTTCTTCTGTCTTGCAGTTACCGGAAACTCGACTAGACCACCTCAACTCGACCAAAAACCGTGCAAGATGCACCACTGGAGAGATACATACCGTTTTCCTCGCGATGTACCGTAATTTTTTTCCCCCCGGCAAAAACTTCCCACTTTTACCCTGTACATTTCTACGAAAAAAGGAGGGGGAGAGACGAAGAAGAAGGGAAGAACGAAACACGACAGAACCGTGTAGTCACGATTGATGTGAACAATGGTTGGACCCAAGCGGTGGTCCCGCGTATCCGGAGATATGAAGGGAAGAGGGAAAAATGTCACGAAGTTCGTATAAAACGGTGGCTTTCAGGGAAAACTGGAGAACTGTTGAGGGGTACCGCGGGCTAAAATCTGGACGGTGTGCTGTTCAAGAATATTTCGTGGCCGACGAAACATCGTGGGGACGAGCGAGCTTAAGGGAAGATCCTGGTACCTTAAGTGGCTTTAATGGTCAGTGTCCATTGAGACGAAAATTTCGAGGGAAGTTTGTCCCGAAGTTCGCCAGAAGCTAGCGTACAAGACACACGGGCCCACCCCTCCTGCTCAACGCCTGAGTGCCAAGTATCACTTAGGACACGTGAGTAATCCTGAAGAACATGTTTCCACGGCGCGGCGTCGTCAACAGTGGCGGAATACTCTCTGGCAGCGCGGAGTTAAAAGCAGCGTCCGGTGCTACGGAACCACAGAGACGCGATGTGATTTGCAAAGTTCGGAGTAGAAACTAGCAGTCGTTTGAGGAGAGACGACAGCTGCAGGCACGTGCAGGTTGTCCGTGGAAGATTTTAGAATTCGGGAGGTGGAGGTTAATTGTTGGATCTTTCTGGACCGTTTTTTGCCATTTTTGGAAAGGTTCAATTTCTAGGTGAAGTCTATCTACTGAATAATGAACGCTGTAGGATAAAATTATCGGTTGTAGTTTATTCGTTTGAATAATAAGGTACGGATAAATAAATTTCAGTAACGAAGTTGAAACGTCCAATTTCGTTAACTTAATTCCATGACAAACTAACGAGGAATTGTCTGGCTTGAATTCGATATCTGGAAAAATGTGGGGCGATTCTAAAAGAGAAAATACGACGAAAATGAGTAATAAAATAATCGCGTTCGAGGCTTCGTTCTTCAGTTATTAATAATTAAAAATTGCGCCTGCAGCAGGCAATTTTCGTGCGCCGCTGTAGACCAGGTAGCCACGCGACGGGGAGATCAGTGCTGTAGCAAGCAAAGAGAATAAACACGCTTGCCTGGTAATAGAAATTATCACAAGCGCTGACACAATTTTGCAAACATTTTACGATGAAAATTCACCTCGAATGGTAGAACGAAATTAAATTTGCCTACTCGTGAAAATCCACGAGCCCATGTAGAAACCCTTCTAATGGAAATTTCGAGTAGAAAGGGTGAATGCGTTTTCGTGTAAAAAATCTTCTCACAGATATCAAACACGCACGTTCACTCGTTACAGTAATTCTATCCACGTGTAACCAGAAAAAATACACAAACACTACTTCAGTCTTTAAAAAATAAGCGCCACATAGCTAACGACGAAGTAAACGACCCCAAACAAAGTTAAATCGATGAAATCAGAATAAACTAAACCAAGCTGAGACAACGCTAGAAATTCGATTGAATTAAAAGTCACCGAATACAACGGGTACGTTTTAGCCAGAATTTCAAACACAATCACTTAGTTCAATATTTAATATCACAACGAGATCAAACTAATTCCCCTGTTTAATTAGTATCGATGTGAAGCGAATGTGCGGCTCGAAAATGTTTCAATATTTCACCAACGCTGTGAATAATCTAACCTAAATCGACAAAAGTGACTTGTGAAATCGGTTCGATCATGAAAATCTCCAGTTGTTTAAACAATACGCCGTATCGACCGCGTAAGGTGTTAGGCGTCTCGAGGCTCTCCTTCCTGGAGTTCCTGCGTTTTCAGAATCCCGAACTGAACGAAGATCAAATATTGTCGAAGATGAAAGAGCAAGGGAAGGATCCGGTGGAAATTCTTACCGAGCATCAACGGCAGATTGCTTGCGAGCAAAATCTGGCAGCGGTTCTCCGGAAGCTCGACATCAGTTTTCGTATCACGAAAAGGTAGCGTGAAGAGTTATTACGTAATAAACTTTAATGCTCGAAGGAACAGCTGCGCTGTGTACAACAAACATAAAAAGGAAAATAGGATGAAACGTACTTGGAGAATGTTCACGTTTCTTCTTCGCTCTTTTCTTCATTCCCCCTCTCACTCTCTCTCTCTCTCTCTCTCTCTCTCTCTCTCTCTCTTTTGTGCTTTCAACAATTAACACGTGGTTGACTACATTGTTATTTACAGTGAACAATATTTCCTTTCCTGCGTTTAATTTGTGAATGCTTTGTTTTACGGTGGGAGCAAAAAGGGTTTCGTTCATTTTATTTTCGGGGTTCTTCTTGTTAACTCTGAAAATCTGGTTTAGTGCGATTTACAATGTTGGCAATATAGTAAAGTACTGTAAGTAATGTTTTATAAAAATAAATTCTAAAAAGTTCCATTGGAAGTGTTGTTTTTTCTAAATTTTAGTAAAAATAGTTTCAGTGTTTATTACAGAAATTCTGAAAAATTAACAATATTTTAACGTGATATAAGTAATTGGTTACAAAAATAAATTCCAGAAAGTGTCCTTTTTTCAAATTTTAGCAAAAATACTTTCAGTGTGTATTATAACTTTTTGCAACTTAGAGAAATTCCAAAATTTCCACCATTACAAGTGTCCTTTTCCTAAATTTCAGCAAAACTACTTTCAGTATTTATTTCAACTTACAAAAATTCCCAAATTTCCCCCATTACAAGTGTCCTTTTCCTAAATTTCAGCAAAAATACATTCCACTAAATTCACCGAACAACCAAATAAACAAGTATTTTAACCATTTTAACATTACAGAATGGGAGACGCGTCGAAATGCGTGAATTGGGCCGATCTGGTGGTCCCAATTGGCGGCGATGGCACATTTCTACTAGCCTCGAATCTAATTAAGGACAACCGGAAGCCGGTGTTCGGCATCAACCCGAACGTCTCCGGCAGGGGCAACATTTTTGCACTTCCGTCGAAGTACGCGGTGGATATCGAGAGTATATTTGAAAAACTCTATACAGGAAAATACACGTTATTGATGCGGAGTCGCATACGAACGATAATGAATGGGGAGGGACTTTATGGACGACCTTTTCACATACACGAGAAGAGCCGTACACGAGGAGAGAGGAGAGACGAGTGGGTGCATTATAGAAAAGTTATCCTCTCTGATCTAAGCTTGTTCTACCCTACCGGAAATCAATATGTGCATTTTTATTCGCAGCCTGATA